AATCTTGTAATACCGAAAAACTGCACTGTAGTTTTTCCAATATTTACTATTCATCGAAAAGAAAAGTATTGGACAGAGCCTTTAARATTTAATCCTGACAGGTTTTTGCCTGGAAATTACAACCAAAAATGTTTCTTACCATTCAGTTCTGGGAAAAGAGGATGTATAGGTAAAAGCACATGATTAATTATTCTTGAAATAGTATTCTAATCAGTTGATCAACTAAGTACATTTTTATTGAATATCGCTTTTTCAGGAGAAAAATTCGCAATGATCGAAATGAAGGCAATTGCTGCAACTGTATTAAGAAAATTTGATGTTCGAATAGACGATCCAGTTTCAGTTGAAAATGTTAACCTAAAAATCGGCATAGCTTTGCAACCAGCGGAACCTATTTTTTTGAGATTTAACAAGCGATAATGTTTATACTATTTGTTGATACTATGTTCTTAATAAAGTAATTGTAGTAATTAAGTGTACAAACAAAAAATAAATTTTAAAAACTATACGCTTCCTTTTTCAATTAGGATATTGGTATTTGTATTCTTAACTACATAAGAATTAATATTACCATTTAAAAGAGGAAAATAAACACATTAGAAACAATTATGTATTTAAATAGAACAACTTTTAAATAGGAAAACACATTTTAGGGAAATATCTGACGAAGTAAATTGAGACACGAGCGGAGTACTTAATACGGAGTATTAAAATCAAAAACCTAGCGGAGAAATTAATAGAAATTAAGAAAGAGAAGGTCAACATACAAAATTTTATTTTGTAACACGTCTTAAAAATTGAGGAGCTGGACAAACAAAAAGTCAGCAATTGATTGACAAGAAAAACCAATAGAATACTTCATTATTTTGTTTAGAAATGAAAATATCGTATTTGTCTTTGCAATTATAATTATAACTAATTGAATAATTAATTAATAAAGTGAGCATTTATGGATTTTGATTGAGATTTTATAGAGCAATTAAGAGCACTTATTCATTTTTTTCTGCTGTTAAAGTTCCTGTTCATCGTTCCTACGGTAATATAATTGCAGTATAACGGTTCTTTTGACACGTTCCTTCAGTCAGACTAGAAATTTCTGCCGATATGTGAATTTTTTAAGTAATGTTTTAACTTTTTTTTTATAAATGTAATTTATGTGTTTAGCAAGAACTTAAAGGTCACAAAAATGTTATATTCTAAAAAGATTTAATAATATATTTTAATAGTAATTCACTTATAAATATTCGATAACGAATTCCCTTAGTAAAATGGTCAGAGGAAATTAGTCGAATAATGCAGCATCAATCGGAAAATTCCAAGATAGTGTCGCAGATTGATAGTAAAAAAATAAAAAACATGATGCACTACTATATGCATGATCGTTTGAAATTCCATGGAGAGAGAAATGGTGAGTCCTCTCAAAGTAGGCGTTACGGTAGGGAAAAGCGTGCCCTATTGGTCGTGAGCGTTCCTTATTCGTTGCATAGGAATAAATATGATTTCTTTCGAGGAAGAGAGAGAGAGAGAGAGAGAGAGAACTATGACTTAGGAGAGGGAAGCCGATGTTGCCCTTCATTGCTCAGGATGTTACCAGTTCTAAAGAATTTTAAAATATTTTCGCACGATTGACGATTTTAGTGTCTTATCATCAATATAAGATTCATATTCTGCAATTTCAAAAACCCTCAAATATTAACTTAGTAAAATATTGAACTACATCTACATTTTTTAGCCACGTTTTGGTGATTTAGGACCATTGTGTTCCGCTGGATGATGTATTGTGAGGACTGTTGATTCTCGTTTGATTGGCAAGCACAGGGCTTCTTAAACTATGGGTCGCGACTCCAAATGGGGTCGCGTAGCAAAATTCTGCGGTTGCGAGAGATTTTAATGTCAAATATTCATATATATACCATTTTATAACATCACTAGAATTGGCGGAATACAGTGGACTTGCAGCGTCTAGACACGTGCATTTGTTGAAGGTTTTGAGCTATCTCTACCGACAGCAGTAATATTTGTATGGGGTCGTCAAGAAACTCGCAATCATAAATGGGGTCATGAATGACAAAAGTTTAAGAAGCCCTGGGCTAGCACACTAAGCCCTCGTTCCCAGGGATAAGACCGGATATTCGGATTTATCATTCGAACTTTCCTCGTGTTATGATTTACACCGGTCGTTACTAAATTTTTTGTTGATATTGTGTCTGTGGATTTGGTTCTGATATGTTTCGAGATATGCTTTTAAGTATGCGTAAGACAACGAAGAAGAAAGAATGGCTGTGTTATCTGCAAAAACAATCAATTCTATCAATTAGGTTTCTAAGAATATCGTTAACGAATATGTTGAATATAGGCCAGTCAAAAAGAGGCAAATTTCCATTTTTTCATAAAAGGGTAAGAATTTTTGATATAATGGTAATTCGACGACGCTGAATCGAATGGTGCTAATTTTTTGGCAATCGGATGGCGTGATTACGAGAAAAAAGGTTAAAAGGGGTAAAAAATAACCGTATCTTAGAATCTAGGCATTTAATCGAAAAAAGTTTTAAACAAAAGTTGTAGAAAATTAAATATATATAAAAAATGTTATGAGGTTTATCTTCGGATTTGCAAAAATAAACGAGAAATATTTGTAAAACGTGATAGTTAGTGTGTGGGACAAGCCCCGTCTCTTCGTCGGTTTTTACACGCGAGCGGCCTATTGTGCGTTATCTTAGGGTCTCTCGGTCGTGAATGCGAATGCGAGTGAGAATAGAAATGGATATTTCTCTCTTTCTATTTTTTCATTCAATATCGAGAATTTATCGTTTTGACAATCGAGTGTTGAGCATTCTGTATATCTATATATATGTTACCGTCAAGGCGGGATATCAGGCATTACTAGTTAATCCTCGGCATTACTATGAATATGAATTGAAAATAAAATTTGTATTTAATATGCTCTTAGAATGATTTTTAATAAAATGCAGGTATAAAACATTTCATTTTAAACCCGCTCATCTTCCGACGCGATAAAGGACAAAGAATACTGATTTTCCGTTATTGGGACACACAGTCTGAACAACCCCCACAATGCTCGTTTTTGTGTATGTGTATGGGAGCGATTAGCGGTTGTTTTTGGGTTTTGGGGGGTGGGTCGTCGGTCCTGTGCTCGAGGATGTATTCTTTTCAACGTTGTTTAAATAGTAATTTTATATTCTATAGAATATCAAAGTATTATGTTCAATGCCTAGGAAAAATTGAAAGAATTTTTCAATTTCTGACTTCGTCTAAAGGCTCTTCATATTCATAGTAATGCCGAGGATTAACTAGTATTGCCTGATTTCCCGCTTTAACAGTAACATATCTATATATATATATATGGACCGTTTATTTTGAAAGTGGTGTAAGTCCATTTTCTGTTGTTTCGAGAAAATTGAAGGTTTGCGTATTGGTTAATTTAAAAATATTCATTAATTATATCAAGTTTGACAATGTTTCTATTAACTTATCGATATGTAATTTGATTAGGTTAATTAATTAAAATAATGGATATTAGGTTAATTTAAAAAGGATTTAGGTTAATTAATTAAAATAATGTATATTTACAGGCTGCAAATGGACTTACACCACTTTCAAAATTAGTCAATTGTTAAAATCGTTTAATTTCAATTTTGAAAAATCAAATATCACTTAAAATATATTTCATATTAATCCAATTTTGTTTACAAATAATAACAAGAAATAAAGTAGAAGTAGTATTTTTTATTTTGAACGTTAATTATATTGATAAATTTAACATTATTAGTAGTATTTATTTATGCTCTTCATGTGGCGGTGTTTTTAAATATTTATGAGGCATAAAAGGTATCCAGTGTAATAACAGCTCGATATTCTTATATTTTTCGTAAGAAATAGGCAAAGCACCGTGATACAAATGCGCCAGGCGATTTTTTCAAATTTTGTCTTGTGTTTCCGGACATGTAGGTGATAAATTTGAAGTCTTAAATTCTGAGTCTTTTATCAACATGTTATATAAAATAGTATATGGTGCACTTTTTCGAAACCTCATCCAACATATTTGCAACCAATTTCTTTTTTTTTATTATTGTTTCTTGTTATTTGTTTTTTGATTGCGTTCTGTAGGTTCTTCGTTCAAACGAAATTCTCTCGTTTCATTTCATGTAAAATGAATTTATTATGTTGTTTACATTGTTTTATAATATCATAATATTCCTCTGTGGTGTATACAGGAAATTCATTTCTATATTTTTTT